TTTAATGATAATGGTGAAGTCTACATAGTAAGTACATATGTACTTACGTAAGTAGTTAAGACTGCTATGAACTGACATCAGTATTCAGAAGTTGCGATTAGAAATATTTTGATATATCTTTTCGAATTACTCAACGAGTTACGGAAATCAATTAAAAACTGAATTTACCAAAATAACCCAAAATCATCGATATAGTCCAAAGGATAAGCAAGCTGAAGTGGGAATGGAGTGGTCACATAGCTCAAAGAACCGACAACCAATAAGAAGGAAAGTTTCTTGAGTGGCGACTCCGTATGGTTAAACGTAGTGTATTATGACCCTCCACTAGATGGAGTGATGACCTGTAATGCATTTCTAGAAGTCTGTGGACGTAGGTAGCTCAGTATCGTTCCTTATGTTAGTCTATGGGGGAAGCCTATGTTTAACAGTAGATAAATAATAGCTGAAATTATGATGATGATGATCTTTTTACATCTGTCATGCATAGTTAATTTTTTTTATGTTAAAACTAAAACATGTCAATTCTGAAATTCTCCATAAAATGTAAATTTTAATATATTTTATTATTGCTAAACTGCCGAATTGTTGAAAAAAGAAATAAATAATAAATAAATAAAAATGTTTATTTGGGATCCTTAGCTTAATTTACAGTTTATATATTTTACTTTTATTTACAGAAATATACATCTACTTACTACAAATATAGCAGAATTGTAATATTTTATATGAGTTTACTATTTATTAATATAAAATACTTATTTTAAATATTGTTTCAAAATAGATAATACAAAGAGTGCTTATCTATATTCACACCAAATCGTAACAAAGTCCTCTATCCTTTCATATATCTTTTGCTCATCCTCTTTCACAAGTTTCAATGCATCTCGTATACAACGTCACTTCCAGAATATGTTATATTTGTAAAAATAACATATTTTTGCAAAAAAACTCCAATAAATAATAAACATGAGATACTATACTTTTTCACTGATACGTAGTGAATGTTTTCAGCAATCTTAAAAATTTAAAGAGTAGAAATTTCTCATAGCGACCCACATTATCGATGTGTCCACATATAGATCATATCTTCCTGAATAGGTCAATCCACTTGACTGATAATGCAAGTCTGATATTTTTGTTCCCAGGCTCTGAAGCTCGGTAGCTTGTTGACTGTTGATTCACGCATCCGTATGTGAATAAGTGACTTTATGTTTACATAATCGTGTAAGGTGTTGGGAATTAAATAAATTCTTACTAATATTATAAATGTGAAAGATTGTTTGTTTGTTTATTTTGTTACCTCTTGGCGCCTTATTATTCCGGTAAAACAATTTGAAACTAATCTTGAAGTAAGATAATCCATCATTGAAATTTTGAAGTTTTTATGGTAAAACATAATTGGAAATTTTTAAAGTAAATTATTAAGTATAGAAGTAGTAGCTATTGAATTATATATCATAGATATGTATCTCAATTATTACATTAGCAAAATATTATGTGGTATTTTTTTATATATTCTTATATATTATTGTTATATATTAATTTTTATATATTATTGTAAATTTTCTATGACTTATGTTTTATTTCACAATCAAATCAACTATTAAATAATAACATGATAATATTAAAAATTATTAAATATTTATTTATTTAAACAAAACACTGTAAACACAGAGAATAATAATAGATATATAGGGCTTGCTACTTTCATTTACACAAGTTACAGTATTATTTTTGGAAAACGACATAGGTATATAGATGATGCTACATATAAGTAAGATTGCTTAAAATTAGTACTATAATATGTAATTCTTACGATTTACTAACGAAAACAGATAATGATTACGAAATGGTTAATTCAATCTCTGAATAAATATGTAAAATTACTTAACTGAGACTTTTTATGTCAAAATATTGTTTACCAAACGATAATATAGACCACATGTGTGCGTGACATCCGTCTTTCCACTAACCTATCTATTGATTAATCTCGAATTACATTACACTTGATCTTTTTAATTTGTAGTTGCTTAGTTTTTTGTAATTTTATAATATTTTTCAGCTCCTGAGGAAATTACGTTCCGAACTGGGCGGCAGATTTATAAAAAGTTGACTGTCTAAAAATACTCGCAATAAAGTTACTTGAAAAAAAAATATTTATATATGGCTTTGCTGAAGTAAATAGTTAGAAAGATAAGTTAGTACCTTATATTAGCTCTAATAGGAAAAATTTTGATTCCTTGTTCTACATTATTATAATTTTCGTAAGAATCTCAAATTTCTTTGAAATACCATAGGTATAGTCAATTTCCTCGCTGATATTGTAGCTTTCTCTAGGTGAAAGAACTTTTAAAATCGGTTAAGTAGTTTTTAAGATCATTTATTACAATATGTTGCGGAATGGAACAATAAAACGAAGTTGGTACTGACATATATTTCAAATAATTGACAATTAACTAACTATTAATACGAGATAAATATTAATTTATATACTAAATAATAACAAAAAAAATTAAGACAGAAATGTTAGCGCGACACATTAACCCAGTACGTGCTGTAGCTAAAATTAATAATGATTAAATCTCTTAATCAACAACTGTGGCAAAATTTAATTATGATTAAATCTCTTAACAATTGATCCTTTGCTATTTATAATCGTAATATGTGTATAGATTATGAAGATCCCTGTGCGTTTTACAAAGAAATTAAGTGAATACCTGTTCACGAGTTATCACACACGTCAAATACGAGTATTTATTATTTACATTCTTGAAGTGATAATATAATGATTTATACGATAAGTCCGTGTGAAACATCTCTGATATTTTATGATATTTTTATAGAAATGAACATTGTAATTACCTAATCACTACATTATGTATTTGACCTATTTACTCATTTTCCAACTGGAGGAACAATAAAACAGTAGGTATGTCACGAAAATTTTATATTAATATAAAACCTAACCTAACAAAAAAAAGTGTTAATAAACGTATGGCAAAAAGAATAATGTAAAAATATAAATAAGTATATAGAAAATGCAGCTAAATTATTTATATGTTTTTGTTTCTATCTAGACAAAGGTTTAGGTATGTCGGTTCTCAATTCACCTGTCTTTTTTATTGTTTTTAAGACTGTTTATTTTCTTTGTTATTTTATATTGATTTCGTCTCGATACTTTTTAGGGAATAAAAAAAACTATATGTTGCTATTATTGAATGTGTTAGTTACAATCTATAATCACCATCAATTTCACTGGAGTTAGGTTTGCCATATATGTGGAATTACGCCTCTCTGTATACCCCAAAAGGTATTTGACGTAATAATAGTAGCCAAAGATGCAACACTGTACATTAAAAACAGTCACGTATATACAGAATTCCCCGTTACGAAGTGCCGCTTATTAAATTAACAAACGGACCGTACACAAGAAAATTTGTCAAAGCGAAGTGTTTTTACAGAACAATGACTTTACAGCTTTGACGTCCGTTAAGTATAATAGAGAACCAAGCAGTAAGTAGCAGCAAGACAGGTACACTGAATATGAAACTCTACGGCAATTAATTAAAGAATAAAATAGAATAGTTTTCAAATAGTCAAGTTACACAAACTGTGTTGTAGACTGTACTATGGCTCGCTCCATCCACGCGCCGTAGTCGTAAAACAATTAAAAATAATAGAAAAATAGACAGAAAATATGAGAATTATTCACGGATAATAACTGAGGGACAATATATAAAAGGTTATAGGAGTTAAATGGATCTCTTCTCACTAATTGTATTATAGTACCACTGCTTCCACAATACTTTTTTGGTATTCAAAGTACCGGTGTTTTGATAATATTTTAGTTTTTTGTTAACCCGAGGACGCAAACTGAGAGGTACAAAATTCAAAGAAATGCCTAAATACGAGAAGTTATCTATGTATACGTAAAAATGAGAAAAATCGTATAATGGTGTTTTTTTAATGTGTGATAATGGAATGCCTTTGCTGTCGATATACACTGACGGGGCTCCAGTGAGAGAGGACAGATGCGGAAGAAATCCGATAATGTAGCTCATCCTAAGGAAATAAACTAGAATTAACGATAATGGTTTCCAGTAGAGCATAGAGGACGACCTGATAAGGAATTTGCTAGTAATGGGGCCATTTGACCCCATCTCTGTCTGACAGAGATGGGCGTCATTGTGTCAGGTGTATTTAAATTTTTATTTTTTATTATAAAAATTATACATTTTTTCATATAAAATTATAAATTTTACGAGAAATTATAAGTTTTAAGAGTTTTATTAAATACTAGTGAATCGGACCGGTTTCGGAAGAGTAGGTAGGTAGATAGAATTTTCGAAAATAAAATATAGCCTACATTACTCATTAATAATGTAGCGTATAGGTAAACGAATTTTTAAAATCGATTGAATTGTTTTTGAATTTATCTATTAAAAATAAACAAACAATGAAGTCTCTTCATAATATTAGTAGCGATTCAGCCCGACTTCGTACGGGTATACAGACTTTTCGAAAATAATATGTAGCTTATGTTACTCACTGACAATGTAGTTTTCTACAGGTGAAAGAATGTTTAAAATCAGTTAAGCGGTTTTTGAGTTTATTTATAATATTAGTATAAAGGCATACTTCGGATAGGTAGTGTTTTATTTTTGTAGTAATACAGATTCAAATATTTGCATCATTACAGCAATGATCTGTCTACTGGTGAACATAGACCTCCTCCATAAATTACCATAAGGAACGGTCCGGAGCCGTCTGTAAAACACCTATGAAATTGCATAAACCTCAACAATTTGTTATTCATTGATAATTGCTTATTCATTGATTAAACATCATGATTAATTTTATAATTATAAATAAGAAGAATTAATATTTATTCATTCTATTGTTGGACAGATATAAAGTACCTAGTTGCTGATTAAGAACTGAGTAGCATGTTTTTATATCTAAGACTGATAAATACAGTACTCATAATGACAAATATCCATTTACAGTGAGTCGAGTCATAGACAAACTTCCTGTTCTGAAGTCGATGATTATTTTATGTGACTAACTATATCATGCGATTTCGCCCGCCTGTATGTAATAATTCTTAAAAAGTATTTCTAATTCCCGATTTAGTCTATTTTGTTGCCATATTTTATTTGAATCGATTCAATTGTTTAGGGTCTAATTACAAACATATTTTGATAATTTTATTAGGGAAACATACTTTTGTAACTGAGTAAAATTTATATTGTGGCAGTCTTCAGATGATACACACATCAAGGTTGCTAGATAGGTATTTTGTATTAACCTTAACGTTAAATATTGTTTTTTTTTAAATCGATACGATTTATATAACTTTTATTGAATCACAGCCTCATATAATTTTTCATTACATCTTGATATATGGCACTAAGTGAACACGACGGAAAAAATACAATCCTTCAAATTTTTCTTTCATTTCATTTTTTTCCAAAATTTTTTCTATAAATTTCATTTCTTTAAAATTTCACGAACGCAAAATTTTTACACAAAACTGCGCAAACATAATCCAATCCTTAAGCCGAATGGCTGTGTGATATGATAGTACAATTACAAGTTATTTTAATTAATGATAATGAAATGGTAACCTCGCCAGCGCTTACGGTATACGCTAGCGGGGCATCAGTGAAGGATGATAAGTGAGGAAGAAAAAACAGATCACCCATATCCATATCCAACAAATAACCCATCATGATGTGTTCTTTGTCGGATATGGACAAAACTCAACCCACTTGGAATTCAGCACGATAGTTTCCAGGGGGAACCGCGTGGAGGTCATCCTGACAGCGTATATTGTTAGCAATGTGACCCTTTCCCTCCTGATATTACGGGTTACGGAGGCATAATATTTTATTTCTCAGGGATAGTATCGAATGATACACTTACAGCATATAGTCTATTTTCTAAGAATATTAAACATAATATTAAATAATATATTATTTAATACTATTTCTTGCGGTTTTGGCCGTGTAAATCAATATATAAAGTAACCTATGTATGTGGAAAAATAGAATAAAATCTTTTCGTATAGGTACCAAATTTCATTCGAATTCATGCTGCCGTTTAGGCCAGGATTGAATAACAAACATTCTAAAGATTGACTGATACAGAATGCCCATAGCATTAATTCCACCCTTCGTACCATATTTTATTGGTGAATAAAGCTTAAATAAATGAATAAATATTTTCAAATTTTAATATTAGTAAAATTAATATATCGACTTTATTTTAACAGGCAAACCCTCAGGTTGGAGCTTGTCAGAAATATGTTGCGTTCGGTGTCGAGCAACAGCGGGATGTACAACAAACCCTATAAAAAGTTAACACGCGTTAAATGCACGGGATCACTATTTGTACGATCCGTACAAACAGACAGACGGACTATTAACGTAGACACATTAACGCAAACAATATCAACAATGGAAGACAATAAGTCAACCTTTGTTTAAAAAGGAAAACCATTAAAAATTATTGGCCAGTCTTATAGAAACACTGTTTTTGATGTTACTCAGAATTCGCTGAATCTCTTCTGCGCAAACAAGTGATGTTCTATAGATCGTTGATGAGAGTCGACGGTAGGCTATTGTTGTTTTTTTAAATATCATTATTGTCTCGTTCAATAGTAGAGGTAATAGTTAGAGATACAATTTTTTTCTTACCTGGGGTTATAATATGGAACCTGTATTTTTTGGAAGTATTTTTAATAAAGCATTTTAAACGAAACCAAAAATGAGTTGGTCTGTATTCCTTATTTGTTATTATTTTTGTTGGTAATTTAGTATGTTGTGCGATATCATTGCCAATTCATAACTGATTTTAATAATTGTATGATGTAACTAAATGTTTGTTCGGTCTGGAGTAACTGTTTTATTAATTTTAAATTATTTTGGCTTAAATTAAGATTTCTGCAAAATTTAGAATCAGAAACCTGCACGTTACGCTCCTCGTGTTGCAGGCTCTATTTTTTTATAACATAGGGACAAACGCACATGTGGCTAGCCTGATGGTATGTGACTATCGCTGCTAATGATCACTCGCAACACCAGAGGCAATGCAGGTGTGCTGCCGGCCTTTAAAAACGAATATGGTCTTTTATTGAAATTTATGATATCTGTGCTTGTTTTTCACCTTTGTAGTATAAAATAATATATGTATTAAGTTTACTATTTAATTATCTTTCTCTCTCTCTCTTCCTCATGCATACTGTTTTATACACAAAAGCATGTATACATAAACTTAACTCTTTGAAGAAACTAGCAGCTGCAGTTTCTAAAGTAATTTATTATTTGAAAATTTGTCCTACCGTATCGTAAACCACCCTCAATGTAAATAAATCGATTTGAAGTCTACTCGGCTATAAAAATGAGCAAAACAATTAGTTTCTGATGTTTTTGTTCAAGGAAATATAAAAAGTTTTATAGGCTCGATTAAGTTAAACACGTTTTGTCAATCTGCTACCCTTTGATTTTAAAGTTTGAGAATCACATTTAACTTCCTCTGTTAATAATAATGAGCTTTATTTCTATTGCAATAGAATTTAATTTTATTACTGCAAAAATCATAGACTATTTTGTATGTTCACATGATTGACATTTTATGGTCGAGTACCAAACTAAAATTTATAGTTTTTCCAATTCGCCGAACGCATGTTTCCGTCATAGAACCCTTTTATGTAGTATTTTATGGTTCTTTTTGTTAATTGTCTATCGGGCGACAAATATATATATATATATATATATATATATATATATATATATATATATATATATATATATATATGTGTGTGTGTGTGTGTGTGTGTGTGTGTGTGTGTGTGTGTGTGTGTGAGCGCTTGTTTAGGCTATTTATAAAGTAGCATAAAAAAGCAGTTGAAAACAAAATTAACACTGACTTCATTAACGAAATAAAGTGAACACATTCATAACATATATTGAAGTAGCAAAAAACAATTTCAAGTAACATGACGACCTAATCATTATGTTGTACGGTGTACTTAAAATTCTAACGTGGAACACATGTCACACGCATCTCGCCATTATCCACATTATCTTCGTAACCACACTTACGACACTCGATAAGAATCCACTCACTTTCGTAAAAAGGGCACCCTTATTTTTTTACGCTTTTAAATTGAGCGCTAGATAAAGCGATAGTAAATAACACAAACTGTTTACTATCGCTTCATCTAGCGATATATGCAAATCAAATACAAAAGCTAGAATTTAAATTTGGAAAACACTGAGATTATGAAGAAGGCGAGATAGTATTTTTTTTATTTAATTATTCCAAAAATACATTAGTACCTATGTGATTGGCACAAACTATTACATAATAAAATATTGTAAACTTAAATTAATTATTATGAAACTACTTATATATAAAATTATTAAGTGTGAAGGAATAACATCAAATTAATACCATAAATATATTTCAATGTACTGAACCTCAAAAATGATTGAGTGTTTCTCTATAATCAGGTAATCAATACAGATTTTATAATTGAAATTAATTTAAATTCAAATCGGAGACAATTGATAAATCCCTACTAATATTATAAATGTGAAAATGAGTATGTATGTTTATCTTTTGGTACTTTAACAGCTTAACCAATCGTTATGAAATTAGTTATATGAGTTCCATATTGGGTTGAGAAGGACTACCACTACTACTGACTATCCTAGACAGTGAACATATCTCGATTTGCGGACGAAGTCGCGGATAGAAACTAATCACATATTATCTACAAAACTATCAACGCATGATACAACGAAACGAATTCAGAACGATTATTTTAATAATGCTAAGCTAATCCAGCAATTGCTATTTCCGCTGGATTTCATAAAGCAAACACTTCATTGCGTCACCACTCTCCTCTCTGGAGTACCAGATAAAGAGGTGAAATGTTCACAAGGAAGGTGTTTATTTTTTTGTATAAAAATGTATTTTTAACACTTCACAACGCTCGAAGATTACGTTTGCAGCGAGTTGAAATTCAAGATAAAGTAATTTTTTGTTTGTGTGAATTTATGAGAATCACTTAGTTCTATAATAGAATAAGTACAAAGAACAAACAACTTAGAACAAAGATAGTACTTATAATCCATACATACATATTTCTTTGTATATCTGTGAGAGCTGTATACGCCTCTTATTGATGTGTTCGTCTTGTCTTAAGCTTACTTATAGTATTATCTATTTAATTATTCTGAACATATTGTTTGTGTATCTTTTATATCTATAAAATATATATATATATATATGCATTATTAATAGAATAAATGCGTAAGTTGGAACGGTGGAAAAATGGATGGATGTTTATTACTCTTTCAAATAAAAACTGTTTAGTAGTTTTTAGTAGTTGGATTTAAATGAAATTTGTTACATAAATAAGTTGCATTCTTTAATTTAGAAATTTAATTTAGAAATTAAAATTTAATAATCGTTTTCCTGTGTGAATATGCCACATCCAATTTTCAAAATACAAGCTTATTTTATAGACAGTTTAGTACGTGTGTTATGATTTTAATAAAAAATGTGAAGATAAAAAAGATAACCAAGATAATATGTGGTTCAGGTAAACCTATGAGTGCGAATGAAAGTTCTCAGCAAAATTCACATAGATATATCATTATGGAACTGTCGCTCATTCATCATTCTGCAGGTGAGTATAACTTATCTTATCATAGTAATACATAGTTCAAATCTCACGCGTACAATTTGCGGTCCTTGATATTAATCTCTCTCTGTACATGGGAGAATATAGAGACTATACATATGAAGAATAAAAAGGGAAGAAAAGTTTAAATGTAGGAAGTATTAAAAAGTTATAAAATATGATAGGTACTGTTAACATAAGATGAATCAGACTAAAGAAATAGTATGCAATTAATAATTAAAGTATACAATGTTAAACAATAAATTTTATTTTATTTCCCTGTTTCCACGTCTTTATTATCGAAACGAAAAAAGAAAATAAAAATAATTTATAACATATTATCAATCTACGGCATTATGACGTAATTTGAACGATTTTTTTAGTAAAAAAAAGGCAATACAACTAGAACAAAATGAAAACCACACAGTATGTGTAACCAAGAGCAATGATATAAATACTCCACAGCTAATTACCTTGAAATAAATACATGGCAATCTATTTCTCATACATTTTGATTATAATCATTGCTATTTATTGTTATTGTAAGCTGTGGGGCGGCAGCCAGGCCTGATAAGGGAGCCAGATGTGACGACCATCCGCCCACCGATCGTGTTACTTTGATACGACAGCATTACTAACATTTATACCAATTTTTACCCGGAATATTTTAACTGTTGATTGACCAGAATGTAATCTAAAATTTTGTTTTACAAAAAACACCAACTTCAATTATAGAAAAACCAGATATTTTAATTCGAAAACTAAAGTATTAAACCGATTTTGATAATATTTCTACAGAACTGATCTAAAAATATGTTATTTCAAATAAAAAAACATGTTTTATAACTGATGGAGATATGAGAAGAAATGTGAAGTTAAAACGCTTAAAAAGTTGAACAATTTTAATTTATATTTGGTACACATACCTTAATACATAAGATATTAGCTAATACATGCGAGCAAAGCCGCATGATACTGCTAAGTGACGTGTAAAAATATAATAAAACCTACAGGTATAGTGTATGGATTTTTATAAAGTCGAGAGTAGAATTTATAGAAAGTTTTTTTTATTCCAAAAAATCATAAAAAAGACAAACAACTGCTTATTCTAGCAAAATACATGGTCAGCCGTTAAACATGGGTTTTCGCCATAAGAGGAGTTTTGCCAGTAGTTGCCATGCTTGATAGGCGGGTTGACAACCGCAGTTAGGCTTTGATAATAATTTATGAGGGATGCTGCTGCCCATTCGTCGACTATTAAGTTTCTTCAGTAGCCTCTTACAACACCTACGAGAAAGAAAAGGATGACACATTCTACTCGTATTCCAGAATCAAACGGCTTTAATATAATAAAACATAATACATTTGTATAATTATTTTTATCTTTAAATTTATTTAAGTATGTTATTATTTTTCTATATATAATATACCTGGCCACAATAGCATTATTTAGAATATAACTAGTACCATATTTAAATCCATAAATAAATAATAGTTCTTTTTTTAAAGTTTCAGTAAAAAAAAATATGAAAGACAGATGTGTAAAAGTACAAAATGCTGCCTATTAGAATCTCAATTAGAAGCTGCATAACTAACAAATTTCTCATTTTTTGCATCACGCCCCGACCAATTTCACGATCTATTTACACCATGTAGGATCAACTCTTCAAAATTGACGTTTCGCTGAATTTCGTCGCAAAAATCAAAACTACCGAATGTTAGACATACTCGACACAGAAGTCACACGAGTCAAATTTCAACCTGTCACATGTGGTTCTCATTTTTTTTTTTTTATTTGCGTGTGTTCCAATGAATTAGTTGTTTTTTTAGTCCATACTTTTGACACAGATTTGCTTGCTACTGAGATACACGTATCTAAGTATCTCCATATGCGTCATTAAGTGACTTAAAAAAGAGATGATACACAATTCATTTTTTTTTCTGTTAAAACAAAAAGCTTTTGCAATTTTGTTTACTCTCGTATTGATCCCGAATTAATTTTGTTTTAAAAAATCTCTCAGTATTGTGAAGCTTAGTCGATGTCATGTAATAATTCAATAATAAATAACACTTTTAAAATTTAAACATTTCA